ATAAAGAATTTCCTGGTAATTTCGTTAAACTACTAGAGGACGACGAAGATTCCGTTTACTTTGATTCTTTGACTCTTCTTCTTCTTCTATTAAAGAAACTTATTTAGTGATCGTAAGCTTCATGTGAAATATCATCAATATATTTATCCATCATCTTTTGAGTGGTTTACAATCGTTGACAATTTTTTTGTATCGTTGAAATATAGTTGGGCCTAGTCTGGGCTACGAGAGGTTTGGGCCAAAACATACGTAGCGTGGCGTTATGTTGTCCATTCAATTCTCAAGAAAGACTTGGGTCCACCAAATCGCGAAGGAGTAATCAACGAATAGAAACCCGACACGTGGAAAACACTGTGGGAGTGGCATTTCCGTGGTTTCGTGAGTAAAAGAGGGGCAATAAGAGAGGAAGTATCCAGCTGTTTTGTTGGGGGTTCGCTTCGTGTGCCTTAAACCTCGCCTCCTTCTCCATTCAAATCAAACCCCTCTTTTAAGCTCTCTCTCTCAATCCGCCGCCACGCCTTTCACCATGGCATGGCTGAGCCGCGTGAGAGGGTTTTCTCCGGTGTCGAGGCTCGTCGCCACGCGTCGATCGTTCGGATCAGCCGCCGCGTTGGCGTTTGACTACGACTCCGATGACGAGTACTTGTACGGAGATGATCCCCGTCTGGCGGAGCCGAGGCTTGGCTTGGATGGGTCGGGTCCCGAGAGAGGAGTCCAGTGGGTTCTGATGGGTGCGCCTGGAGCGTGGAGGCACGTCTTCGCCGAGAGGCTCTCCAATCTCCTTGAAGTTCCTTACATTTCCATGGGATCGCTTGTTCGTCAAGAGCTTAACCCTAGATCTTCTCTACACAAGGAGGTATTATTGTCTTTTACCTCTTAAAATTCCGCAGATTTGATTTGCAATCTCTTTACCTTAAAGAAGCCATCTTTTGCTTTTCCTTTCTTCCGCCTTGATTTTTAATTAGGGCTAATTGTCGCCTTCTACTGTAAATTCTTCATCTTTAAAGGTGCATTGATTCCAAGTGCTTTAAATGAACCATAGTTTGAGTCATAACGGAGCAAACTTTCCTTGTTGGTTCCTTATGGCAATGTTTTCTTCCCTAAAGGACATTCCTTGTAAATTTCATTAATGTTCTTCACTGTTCTACAGTTACATACATACCTTGTAGGTTTGTAATGTTTTTGTTCTTCTTTATAGATTGCAAGCGCTGTGAATGAACGAAAGCTTGTTCCAATGGGTGTTGTCTTTGCTTTGCTATCAAAGAGGCTGGAAGAAGGATATGCAAGGGGGGAAACAGGTTTCATTCTCGATGGAATTCCTCGCACTCGTAACCAAGCGGTGAGTTTATTTTAGAAACTTCAAATTTATCTACAGTGTTTTGAATCAGGGAAGCTTTTACTAGAGTGTAGGTTCCGAGCATTGAATAGAGTTTCTCAATTAAATAACACGCTTTGGCCTGAATATTATGTCTAAAAGAGGATTTGGTTTTAGTGATTACTCACATACTATTTCTTAATGTTGGCAGGAAACTCTTGATCAAATCGCTCAGATTGACCTCGTTGTGAATCTCAAATGCTCCGAGGAGCATCTGGTAAACCGAACTGCTCTAAAAGAAACAGCTCTGCCTCGACAGGAGTTCCTAGGCTCTATGTTACACTCAGCTGTTGCCACCAATGCCCGGAGGGAGAGTCTGGGTGTCTATGCAGAGGAGGTGCTTTTTCTGGTTTATGATCCTTGTCTTTGTTATATCTAGTTACAAAATGAGCTTCTTGTTTCAACTGAAAATCTTGTGGGTGATGCATCAGGTGAAGCCTCTGGAAGAGTACTACAGGAAGCAGAGGAAACTTCTGGACTTTCACGTCGGCGGTGCCACGTCTGCAGAAACATGGCAGGGCTTGTTGGCAGCTTTGCATCTGAAGCAAGTGAATTTGGCGACTTCACAGAAGCTGACTGTGTGAGACGAAGAACAACACACATAGTCGAAGTTCAGAGTTATATTTGCTGAGCTTTGCTTTATAAATTTTGATCTTTCTTTTACATTTTATGGGTATGTTTCAGGCAACCCCTAATTTTTTCTTTTGTTTGCAAAATCTGTAATTCAAAGTTTTGCGAGAGTTCCAAAGTGACGAGGATGAAACACTAAAAGCTTGTAATGAGTCTATATATATAGCAAGAATTTCTCACATATTATTGTTCCCATTTCCTTGTTCCTCTGAATAACAATAACAAATTTGCTTCACTTGTTACAACCATGCGCACGCCAAGCTCAAACATGTCTCTGGTACTGTTATTACATTCTATACATGGCAACACCAGTAACAACGAACTGACAATGATTTTTTTTTTGAATATTCAGACATTTACAACCGTCACAAGTGAGAATTGAATTACACAACACATCAACATTCGATCATTCGCCGTCAGTCCAACACTCCCTGAGAAGTTGATACCTGACTGTCTCATCTGCACTGCCATTATTGACCTTAGAACCCGCCTGTTGAAGAACAACAACAGTCAAAGGTGAACTCAGCTCATCGAGCTCGTCATCGCTTGTGTACGCTTTCCTTGTAACCGAAGACCTGATTCTGCATAACTGCGGCGATTGAGGCTGTCCAAAGTCTCCAATGATAGTGGAAATTGAAGTCCCTGAAGGTGGAGTGTACACTGGAGGAGGTGCAGTGCATGGATAGCTTGTGATCATAGCCTTCTCAGCTTCTTCCTACAAGGGGGACATCACGTTTCTGTTAGCAAAATTAGCTTCTTCACCTTAAGATTCGTCCATAAAAAAAAAATGGTCTCACCTCGGTTTCCAGAGCCTCAAGTACAGCATCAGGAACTGGGTCAGGGCAAAACTCATCCGGGACAAAATTATCCAACACTCTCTTGATCAACGATGCACCAAACATCGGGCAAACCTTCACAATGACAAGATATATATTTGATCGCGAAACCAAGAAAACCAAAGATGTTTACAGGATAAAGAGTGTTGTGAGTTGTGTGTGTGTAGCATTTGCACCTCTTTTCTCACAGAACTGTTGAGGAGCATATCTTTTGGAAGCATCATTAGATCGCTTAAGGCCTTGAGAAGATTGAAAGTCTTGAATGATCTATCAACGTAGCTATTCTCATCGCTGCTGCCATCATCTTCGTCATCAATGCCAAATAGATCAGTGAGCCACCTCGACCAGTTTCCTATCTGTTTAACACTATAAATGTTACAGAGACTACACTAAAAGGATCGGCTAGAAATGAAGTTGAGTGCACTGACCGCGTTTTTCAGCTGGGCACCAGAGCCGAAACTTGATGTTGTTGAAGGAATTGGCAAGACCCTCGAGTCTGCAATGGGATCAGATACAGGGTCTGTTGGGAAATTTTCATCAGAATCACGAAGGATTGCATTGAACATTGCGACATCTAGCCGAGCCACGCACTGTTCCATTATCTGCGTTACAAAACGTTGACATTCAATTGTAAATCAACAGTAAGGTCCCAACCAAAGTGAAAACTTCAAAAGAAGAAATATTTACCAGACGCGCAGGCACGGGCAAACAACCACATTCATGTCCACTAGCTCTCAGAGGGCATAAACGTTCGTGCGCCTCCCTGAAGGCCTTTTTCCAAAGCTCTAATGAAAAGTCACCTTGTTCTTGGTTCATAGAACTCGGCGTCCTCCCAAAGTTTTTCTTTGATGCAGAGCCATTGGCGTTATCAAACTCTTTAGTGGGTGCTGCCGAAGACTGCATACGGGGTGTCAAAGTCTGCAATCAAGAGGACAAGAACATTTGTATTATAATTGGTTAAGAGAATGAAGGAGAAGCAGAGAAAAACAGAGCAACATTACCTGCCACCATATGGATTCTACAACACGTGAGAAGATCCAAGCTTCGACCTTCTCAAGCGCTGTTATGAAGGTTATAGGGTCATCCCAGGCACCAAAACTCTCAATGTCCTTTTTGCTCAGAGAAGACTCTTTCCACCTTAATGATGATCGTTTCTCGGTTTCTTCTCTTTGATCCTTATGTCTCCTTGGTCCCGGACCAGCAGAAACAGGCAGTTCTTCTTCTGCACAAGTATCGCTTATGATCGCCCTCAGAATGATAGTGTTTGACAACCAAAATGTCAATCTGCGATCCAAGGACACGATAATTTTTTTTTTGAAACTGTGAGAAAGTTTACACAGAATGATATATAAGCAAAGTAAAATAACCATACCTGGGGACATCGTTCCCGCACGCTTTGGCGACCAGAACTAACCCGGAGACAGCACTTTTAGCTGCATTGGCTCTTCTTGATAGATGGTTTTCTCTACAAGCATGAAGATACAGCCTCAAAAGACGTCTAGCAGGTGCATGGACTTTACTTGATGAACTTCCGTGCTCTGCAACCACGGAGTACAGAGCTGCTTCAATGGCTGCAGCCTCACGTAACTCACCCTCAAGCTTCTTTACTTTACTTTCCAAGTTCTTGACTTTGATCTCCAAAGTTGTGTCGTGTGTAGACTTTGGATACACCTTAGCTTCTTTCCTTTCACTTGATAGACTCAACCGGCTATTACTCCGGGAGATATCCGTGGATGATCGAACAGACTTCACCTTTCTTGATTTCTCAACTCTACTCTCTGATTCCTGATCACTGATCAAATCTTGGCTATTCACAGAAGCTCGAGGCGAAGCATTTTCCGAGTGATCATCATTTTGAAGAGGCATAGACTTAGTCTCTCCATTATTGTGTTGACTGCTGCTTAACAGCTTAGAGCTCCCGTTAGTATCGGTTATAAACACATTAGTACAGTCCTCCATCCCAGACACAGAAGTGTTAGGTGCAGAATCAGGAATGTCCCCCGGGAGATTATTAAACACAGAAGATAGATCTACTGATGAGGAACGTGAAGGAATGTGGTTAGCAATTTCTCCTTTTCTGCTCTCCGATGCAGATTGTGATCTCTCGTGGCCATTTCTTCTGGAATTCTTATTTACCCTCTCATGTTCTTCCTGCATATAAGACATCAGACAGCTCAGGAACATTTCATCCACATAAATTATCAAAAGAATGTTGAAATATATTACCTCTTCAGTTCGTACAGAAAAACCACCATTAGACTCCAACGTTGACGATGAAACCGTCAAGGAGGAGTGGGAGGAAATGTCATCGTCTGTGATGGAAGCAATCTCAGCTTCCTTATAGTATTCCTCGTTCATCAAGGCAGAAACAGACTCTCCACCGTTTGTAGCTTCATCCTTGGAGCTGTTCCTAGATGAAGAACTTGCCCGGCGTCTATCAATCGGCTGAATAGTGAGGTACAAAACAGGCTGAGTGGTATTCCGGTAGCTTCTTTTACTGTTCATCGAAGCAGTTAAGCTGAAACTGTCTTTGACAATACCATAGTCGGCCAAATCAATGGTTGCAGTAGCCAAAAGCTGATGTGTTTTCTCTCTTCGAGGCTCGTATAAGTTGAACTCCAAGACGTTCTTGAAGAATACATCAGCACCCTTGTTCCGAGCAGACACATCTTTCAACAAGGTCACGGGGAGCTTAAATGATTCGTTGAATTCGATTTTGCCTTCACCGATGACAGAACCAAGAGAAGGAGCAACGACATTTGTAGTTCCAGAATTGCGGTCACCATTCTCCCATTGTATTACAACAGAGCGCAGTGATCGAAGGGACTGAGAAGGTGGCCAAGGCTTGATCTCATGAATGTGGATTTGGTAATCAACTTGTATGGATGAACCTCTTCTGTTCTTGGAGCTTAAACCCAAAACCATTTCCCAATAAACTACAAAAACTGCATTATTATAAAGTCCAGAATCAGTAGCTGCATTGGAACACAGTGCACAAAAGCAAACATTCGACCAGTCTTGGGTTTTTACCAACCAGGAAGATAAAAAATTGGAACTTTTGATCTGAACCAGCGAAGCCGTTAAATGTTTATTTAGACAAATGCACTCATGAACAAGAAAAAGTAAAAATCTCTGCTAATTTGGTCTTCCATGTACATAGATTGATTCGATTGAACGAGATTTAAAACCCAGAAGAAAGAAAACAAAAGCTTGCTTCGAGCTAATACCAGTTGCTTTTTGCATCTCTTACATCAGATCCAAGCAAGTTAAAGAAAACCCGACAGATATTATAGCAAAAGGAGAAAGTCATTCATGTAATGCAGCATTGGAGGCCACTAAGAATTCGTCAAAGTAAACTGAGAGAATACCCAACAAATGCAGAATCTCTGAAAAAAGAGATGGAAATGTGACCGCTTGTTTCGAT